GCTTCTGCCTGGGCCCAGAGTTTGCCCCTTCTGGCATCCTCCAGGCTTTACCAGCATCTTACTTCTCTGGCCCTGCCTTCACTGATTCTCATCTCATTTCTGACCCTTACATGCATCCCAGGGACCCACAGAATCCCATCTCTGGAGGACTGTAGAGCTCATCCAGCAAATAATCCTCTCAGGTTATAAATAACCCCAGGTCTTTCCATCTTGTAAAGAGCTCATTTACCTTCAAGTCATGCTGCATGTGTCCCCTTGCATCCTCTCGCCTTCCCTGCCTCTCAGAAACCCTTCTCAAGATGAGCACAAGTGTGATCCCATCAGGATCTGCTTCAGGGTCTCACTTTCCTGGGTCTTTTTCTGATGTTCCCTTTTTCCTACTTAATCTCACACTTGTCTCAACCTGACTAATCCATCTCACTTTCTACGATTCATCATATCCCTCCTTGGCATCTTCATTGGTCAAGTATCCTCCGATTTGTAAGAACACTTGAGGGTAATGGAAGTCAGAGTGGACCTTGCTTTATGTGAAGGAGTGAGGAGTGATAGGATTATGGGGCTTTTACAAAGGATATATCCTAGACCTGTTGAGGCTGAGACAGAAAGAAATGCAAACGTAGAGAGGGTAACAAGAGAGGCCATCAAACTGAGCAGAGATTTCAACAGTGATAAACGAGGTTGAGGTACCTTTTGACCCCGTCATCTCTCACCTGAAAATCTCTCTTAAAGAAATCATCCAAAATATGGAAACAGCTCTCTGTGTGACTATGTGCATCACAGCATTATTTATAATTGCAAAAAATTGTGAACAACTTAAATATTCAATAGCCAAGGAACAGTTAAGTGTATTAAGATTTCATCCTTTAAATGGATTCATATAATGCCACTTAAAATGTTATGAAGATTATTTAGCCGTATGGAAAATGATCATAATAATGAGTGGATGAGAAGTCGGAGTAGTAAAATAGGCATACACTGAGATTATAATTATGTAGAAAATTACGTATGTAAAAAATTCTGGAAAGAAATCTCCCCAAATCATAACAGAAGTTGTTAGGGTGGCAGCATAATGGATGGTTCTTTTTATATGTCCCAAGATATCTAGAAGATGGTTAACTTTTTAAATAATTTACAAAGCAAGTCATTTAAAACAAGATAAAAGAAATGTGAATGGTTGCAAAGAAAATAATTAAGTGGAGAGACAGCACAGGAAGGGAGTAAGCCGCCGTCCTCTCCAGGCTAGCCCCATCCTGTTCTGTGTGTAATCACCACCCAGCAAGTTTCCTTAGCAGACTCACCTCCCAGCGTGCCTTATAGGCTCCATACACCAGGTGAACCAGATGCTTGGTGAAATAGACCTGAGTCCCACCCCATTGGTCAACAGTCTGGTGAGTTATGGGTGCTGAGGCAAGGCTTCCAGGAAGGAAGGGCCCTGGGGCCCCTCCAGTTATTTGAAAGCACGTTTGCACAATAGAGGTCTCAAAGATTTTTTTTAAATTAATAAACTTTATTTTTTAGAGCAGTTTTAGGCTCACTGCTAAAAACTGAGCTGAAAGTGCAGAGTTCCCACATACCCCCTGTCTCCACACACACACAACCGCCAGCCTATCACCACAGTGGTACATTTGTTACAACATTTGTTACATTAGGGTTCTCTCTCTGTGGGGTACATTTTATGGCTTTGGACAAATGTGTAATGACATGTACCCATCTTTGTAGTATCATACAGAATAGTTTCTGCCCTAAAAATTCTCTGTGTTCTGCCTATTCATCCTTCCTTCTCCTGTAACCCCGGGCAACCACTGATCTTTTTACTATCTCCATAGTTTTGCCTTTTCCAGTGTGTCGCATAGTTGGAATCATACAATACGTAGCCTTTTCAGATTGGTTTCTTACACTTAGTAGTGTGCATTTAAGGTTCCTCCATGTCTTTTCATGGCTTAGATAGCTCTTTTTTTTAGCACTGAATAGTATTCCATTGTCTGGATGTACCACAGTTTATTTATTTATTCATTCACCATATCCATGAAGGACATCTTGGTTGCTTCCAAGTTTTGGCAATCATAAAGTTCCTGTTGCTCCACATTCTTACCAGCGTTTGGTGTTCTCGGTGTTCTGGATTTTGGCCATTCTAACTGGTGTGTAGTGATATCTCGTTTTAATTTTCAATTCCCTAATGACATGGTATTGAATATCTTTTCATATATTTATTTGTCATCTGTATCTCTTCTTTGGTGAGGTGTCTGTTAGGGTCTTTGGCCTATTTTTAAATTATGTTGTTTGTTTTCTTATTGTTGAGTTTTAAGAGTTTTTTTTGTACATTTTGGATAATAGTCCTTTATCAGATGTGCCTTTTGCAAATATTTTCTCCCGGTCTATGACTTGTCTTCTTATTCTCTTGACTTGTCTTTTGCAGAGTAGAAGTTTTTAATTTTAATGAAGTCCAGCTTATCAATTGTTTCTTTCATGGATCGTGCCTTTGATGTATCTAAAAAGTCATCACCATGCCCAAGGTAATCTAGGTTTTCTCCTATGTTACCTTCCAAGAGTTTTGTAGTTTTGCGTTTTACATTTAGGTCTATGATCCACTTTGAGTTAATTTTTGTAAAAAGTGTAAGGTCTATGTCTAGATTGATTTTTTTGCATGTGAATGTCCAGTTGTTCTACTGCCATTTGTGGAAAAGACTATCTTTGTATCACCTTTGTTTCTTTGTCAAAGACCAGTTGACTATGTTTATGTGAGTCTATTTTTGGGCTCTCTATTCTGTTCCATTGATCTATTTGTCTATTCTTTTGCCAATACCAAACGTCTTGATTACTGTAGCTTTATAAAGTCTTGATATCCAGTATTGTCAGTCCTTCAACTTTGTTCTTCTCCTTCAATATTGTGTTGGCTATGCTGGTCCTTTGCCTCTTCGTATAAACTTTAGAGTCGGTTTGTCAATATCCACAAAATAACTTGCTGGGATTTGGGTTGGGATTGCAATGAATGTATCAATCAATTTGGGAAGAACTGACATCATGACAATATTGAGTCTTTTTATCCATGAACATGAAAGATCTCTCCGTTTATTTAGTTCTCCTTTGATTTCTTTCACCTGAGTTTTGTAGTTTTCCTCATATAGATCTCGTACATATTTTGTTAGATTTATACCTAAGTACTTCATATTTGTAGGTGCAATGTAAATTGTATTGTGTTTTAAATTTCAAATTCCACTTGTTCATCTCTGGTGATAGGAAAGTGATTGACTTTTGCATATTAATTGTGTCTCATGCAACCTTGCTATAATCACTTATTAGTTTCAGGAGTTGTTTTGTAGTTCTTTCCAATTTTCTACATAGACAATCATATCATCTGTAAACAAAGTTTTATTTCTTCCTTCCCAATATGTACACATTTTATTTCTTTTTCTTGTCTTATTGCATTAGCTAGGACTTCTAGTACAATACTGAAAAGCAGTGGTGAGAAGGGACATCCTTGCTTTGTCCTTGATCTCAGCTTCAAGTTTCTCACCATTAAGTGTGATGTTAGCTGCAGGGTTTTTCGTAGATGTGCTCTATGAAGTTGAGGAAGTTCCCCTCTATTCCTAGTTTGCTAAGAGTTTTTATCACGAATTGGTCCTAGATTTTGTCAAATGCTTTTTCTACATCTATTAATATGATCATGTGATTTTTATTTTTTAGCCTGTAGATGTCCTGGATTACGTTAATTGATTATCAAGTGTTGAACCAGCCTTGCTTACTTGAGATAGATCCCACTTGGTCATGGTGTATAATTGTTGGATTCAATATGCTAATATTTTCTTGAGGATTTTTGTATCTGTGTTCATGAGAGATATTGCTCAGTAGTTTTCTTGTAATATTTTTTCCCGATTTTGGTATTAGAGTAATGCTGGCCTCAAAGAATGAGTTAGGATGTATTCTTTCTGCTTCTATCTTCTGGAAGAGATTGTACGGAATTTATATAATATCTTCCTTAATGTTCAGTAGAATTCACCAGTGAAGCCATCTGGGCCAGGTGCTTTCTGTTTTGGAAGGTTATTAATTATTGATTCAATTTCTTTAGTAGTTGTATGTCTATTCAGATTGTCTATATCTTTTTGTATGAATTTTGGCAGATTGGGTCTTTCAAGGAATTGGTCCATTTCATCTAGGTTACCAAATTTGTAGGCACAGAGTTATTCATAATATTCCTTTATTATCCTCTTAATATCCATGGGACCTCTAGTGATGTCCTCTCTTTCATTCTGATATCATTAATTTGTGTCTTCTCTGTTTTTTCTTACTTAGCCTGGCTAGAGGCTTATCGATTTTTTTTTCTTTTTTAATTTTTTATTTATTGCAGTAACATTGGTTTATAACATTGTATAAATTTCAGGTGTACATCATTATACTTCTATTTCTGCATTTATCGATTTTTTTGTGTGTGTGAGAGGAAGCTCAACCCTGACCTAACATCCGTGTTAATTCTCCTCTTTTTGCTGAGGAAGACCGGCTCTGAGCTAACATCTATTGCCAATCCTCCTCCTTTTTTTCCCCCCAAGGCCCCAGTAGATAGCTGCGCGTCATAGTTGCACATCCTTCCAGTTGCTGCACGTGGGACGTGGCCTCAGCATGGCCGGAGAAGCGGTGCATTGGTGCGCGGGCGCCCGGGATCCGAACCCGGGCCACCAGTAGCGGAGCGCAAGCACTCAACCGCTAAGCCACGGGGCCGGCCCGACGCTTATCAATTTTATTGATCTTTTCAAAGAACCAGTTTCTGGTTTTGTTGATTTTATCTAGATTGGTAGGTTTTTATTTTTTTCTTAACATTTTAAATATGTCACTCCACTCTCTTCTTGCTTGCGTGGTTTCTGAGAAGTCAGATGTAATTCTTATCTTTGCTTCTCTATAGATGAATGTGTTTCTTTTCCTCTGGCTTCTTTCAAGATTTTTAGATTTTCTAAAGTTTGAATATGAAATGCCTAGGTGTAGGGTGTGTGTGTGTGTGTGTGTGTTTTGCGTTTATCCCACTTTGTGTTCTCTGAGCTTTGAGATCTGTGTTTTGGTGTCTGACATTAATTTAGGGGAAATTCTCAGTTATTTTTGCTTCAAATATTGCTTCTGTTCCTTTCTGTCTTCTCCTTCTGATATTCTCATTATGCATATGTTACACCTATTGTAGTTGTCCCACAGTTCTTGGATAGTCTGTTCTATTTTTTTCAGTCTTTTTTTCCTCTTTGCTTTTCCATTTTGGAAGTTTCTATCATCATATCCTAAATTTCAGAGTTTCTTTCCTCAGCCGTTTCCAGTCTACTAATGAGCCCATCAAAGGCATTCTTCCTTTCTGTTACGGTGTTTTTGATTTCTAGCATTTCTTTTTAATTCTTCCTTAGAATTTCCATCTCTCTGCTTACATCATCCATCTGTTCTTGTGTGTTGTCTGCTTTTTCCATGAAAGGCCTTAGCATATTAGTCATAGTTTTAAAAAATTCCCCACCTGATAATTCCAACGTTTCTGCCGTATCTGAGTCTGTTTCTGATGCTTGTTCACTCTCTTCCAACTATGTTTTTTCCCTTTTAATATGCCCTGTAATTTTCTGTTGCAAGGTGGACATGATGTACCGAGTAGAAGGAACTGCAGTAAACGGGCCTTCAGTGATGTGGTGGTGAGGTATGAGGGGAGGGAATGTGTCTGTAGTCCTGTGATTGGGTCTCTTGTCTTTTGGGGAGCCTGTGCCCCTGGGCTGTGAACTTCACCAGTGTTCCTCAGTTTTTTTCCTGCTTAGGTGGGACAAGATGGCTAGACAGGGCTGGCGTTGAATATTTCCCTTCCCTCCTGTAAGTTAGGCTCTGATAAAATAGTTTCTCCTGAGGGCAGGCCTTGTTAGAAGAACAAAATGTTGAATATTTCCCTTCCCTCCTGTAAGTTAGGCTCTGATAAAATAGTTTCTCCTGAGGGCAGGCCTTGTTAGAAGAACAAAATGTTGAATATTTCCCTTCCCTCCTGTAAGTTAGGCTCTGATAAAATAGTTTCTCCTGAGGGCAGGCCTTGTTAGAAGAACAAAATGCTATGACATATTTCAAAATGGTTACTTTTCCTCTCCTCCTGCTGGAAGTACCAGGGGATTTTTCTCTGATATTCACTTTGAGGACCTGGTGACCTTCTGGAAGTAAAGCTTAAAAGTGTAGGGGCCCCTGAAGATTGGGTCCCCCTGGAGTTTTTAACTCTCAGTCTTGTCCACACTGAACCTCCAGCAATTCGTCAGTTACAGATTTTCTTATCCTGGTACTGGTTCCCGTGAAGGTTTCTGCTCTGGTACTTTGTGATGCTCTGTAGCTGTCTGTTGGTCTCTCCAATTTTGGGGACAGCAGTTTTCCCTGTGACCTCACTTCTCTGACAGATGTC